CTTGAGCCACAGGTGCCGAGCCACTTTCACATTTCCCCACCTATTTTTTGGTTGCAGCCATCATTGTTGTTTGGTGGGCCCAGGCTGGATTCAAACCCGCCAGCTCAGGTGTATGTGGCTGACGCTTTAGCCGCTTGAGCCACAGGCGGCGAGCTGTAAAGCCTGTTTTATAATAAAGTATTGAATATCTCTTGCAGTTTATTGAATTCTGTACTGAAAGTGAGAAACAGAATGATTTCTACTGAATGGCAGTATTATTTTCACACCATCGTAAAGTCTGATAATAATTATAAGTTGAACTATTGTAGGTCAGGGACCCTATGAGTGTTGTCCAGAAAGTATCAAGCCATGTATGTCTCCAGCTGGATACCTTTCAGACAGACCTTGTATATATGTGGAGGAAGGGGTAAATAAGCAGGCGTATCCTCCTCCTTAACTCAGTTTCCCCACCTGAGTCATGGGCACGAGAGGTACTCCTCTCCCAAGAGCTATCTGAGGGACAGAAGAGATGCTATTCAGGCACCCTGGCGCCAGCTGAGATTCAAGCAGGCAGTGATTATGGGGTGATGTGTCCATAAGTCAGGCCTGGGGTTTGGGCTGGGGCTGGTTCCAATGGCCTATCCCCAGCCCCCAGAACACCCCCATCTGATTCCTGTCATCTTGGAGGTTGATTATGAAGGGGGCTGGGCAGACCTGTGCTAGCTTAGCTTAGAATAAGCCCCAGCCCTAGGTGCCCAACCCATCTGTCAGGGCTGTCCTCGCATAGGAGTTTCAAGAGAAGGCCTAGAGCAAGGCCCCAGAGTGGGTAAACCAACCATGGGGGTAGAGGGACTTGAGTCCAGTGGTTGCCAGGACCTCCCCAGCACCAGCTGGACACAGCCTTCTGACATGAGGCAGGAGCCACTCTTTATCCTCAAAGAAGACCTTGTTCTCCCAGAGACAGGGAGCACCAGGGTAAGACTTTAAGAACAGCTTTTTAGATCTAAGAGAGGAATGTCTTCTACTGGAATTGGGAGTGGGGGTGGGGGAACATACTCACTCTTCTGACCATTATTCTCAGGGTTCAGAAGTTGCTGGTTCTGACTCAGTGCCCATAGCTCAGTGAGTAGGGCACTGGCCACATACACCAAAGCTGACAGGTTCGAGCCCAGCCCAGGCCTGCTAAACAACAATGACAACTGCAACCAAAAATAGCTGGGCGTTGTGGCAGGTACCTGTAGTTCCAGCTACTCAGGAGGTTGAGGCAAGAGAATCGCTTAAACCCAAGAGTTTGAGGTTGCTGTGAGCTGTGATGCCACGGCACTCTACAAGGTCAACATAGTGAAACTGCCTCAAAAAAAAAAAAAGTTGCTGGTTCAAGTGACCCCAGCAACTCTGTCCACAGACCACTAACATCAGGGCTAATTCCAGGAGCTGAGAATGTGGGTTGGGGAGGATAAGGCTCCAGTAAGGCCTGAGGGTGCTGGCTGTTCCCCTCCCTCCCTCCCTTCCTCTGTCCCTCACTCCTTTGTCTTGCCCTCCCCTCCCCTTCCTCCCTTCTCAAGCTCCTTGCTCCCTCAGTGAGCTGTGGCATTGCTGGGAAGGAGGGAGAGTGGCTTTATTTCCACATCCCACAGCCATCACCTCCTCTCCCTGACCCCAGCTGACAGCTAAAGGGACAAGGCCAACACCTGAGCCCAGTGCATTTTCCCTCCCCTCTCTTCTATGAGTAGTACTGATTTAGTGAGAAAAGTCTAAACCCAGCTCCTCACCAACCACTGAGGAACTTGGATGAGTTGCTTCTCATCTGGCAGGCTTACCTGAACAGAGGGGAACTGACAGCCACACTGCAAGACTGTTTGGAGCATTGTACTTAATATAGCAAGTGCCTGGCACACAGTCCATCTTGGTAGTTATGATTTCCTGAGGATGGGGCCTCCTGGGTCCTATTGTGTGGGGTCCTCCCTAACCTCTTGCCCACTACCCTGCAAATTCTAGGGTTGGGAGGTGCTGTGTGGGTGTGGAGGCAAGGTGGGTGCAGTGAGCCAGAGCCCTGAAGGAGGCAAAGTCATCTGGACTGGGTGGGGCTGGGAGACTGGGCTAGAAGGCCCCAGAGGGATGGCACAGACTGGTTTGGGGAGCTGGCTAGGCGATGGGGAGATGCTGGCAGCAGGGAGAGGTGGGAGGAGCTGGTGGCTCCCTGGAACAGAGGAGCTGAGTAAGGCATACTAGACTGGGGCCAAAGGGCTGGGTTGGGGTATCTTGAAGGGCTGGCCATCCACTTCCAGAGGTGCCCATAGCACACACTGCTTCAACAGCACACACTCAAAGGTGCCACTCTCAGATGCACACAGGGACATACCTGGTGACATACTTGACACTGCAAGCCATCGCCTCTCTGAGCCCTCTTACCTGGCTGTTTTCCCGTCTCATGTATCCAACATGCCTATCCAATCTGTACTTGCCAATTATTGGCTGTTTGCTGCCTGTCCCCTCTGCAACCCAAGCTCCTCCACACAAGCAGGGCCTGCTTTGTTTACCACTATAAGCCCAGCACCTACTGCATGCCTGGCACACAGTAGGAGCTGAATGAGTGAATGAATCCCTCTAAACACACATCCATATCACACACACACACTCACACATGCATGTCCAGAGACTCCATTGCAGGCACCCCAAGGCTGCCATGGACATCCACAGACCTGTGCACCAGGTATCAGCAAACATCCAGATTCACACATCCACACACAGTAGCCCCACACCTGGCTGTCCAGATTCCAAAGCTCCTTACTCACCCAGGCAGAGTCTGGCAGACACGCTCAAGCACATCCCACTCCCACCCTCTGAAGTGCCAGCCCTGGAGGGTAGCCCCTCCCAGACACAGAGGTGGAGGGAGCCTCACTAGAGCTGACAATACAGCAGCTTGAAAGGGGTGGGGTAGGACAGGGCCACCCTGACACCTGGGAGCTGTCAGGAAACGCTAGCAGGATAGATCCAAACTATGGGAGGGAGGAAAGAGGAGTGAATCTCCTAGCTTTGACCTAGCCCTTGCTCCAGACTCAGACTCCTCCCTTCCAGCCCCCAACCTATCCTAGGTTAGGACCTAGGAGCAGGATAGGAAAGAGTCCTCCTAGACACAGAGGTGTCACCCAGCACATCTGGGGGGAGGGCAGGGGTGTGGCAGTGAAACCTGCTTCTCAGCTCTGACTCCAGCAGGAAGACACCTCTGCCACCCTGCCCCTGGGAGGCTAGAAATATAGGACAGCATTGTCACCGGGCTGGCCTTGGCACTGGGCTGGGCCTCTCCCAGAGAGGCCTCTTTGGCTCCCACCTCCTGGCTGTGAGTCATAGAACTGGTGGTAACTACCAGGCATCATCCTTACCCCCACACCTCTGGACTCTCTGTCCCTTGGAGCCAATGAAAGATTATACAAGAGGGGTCTGGCTGTGCCACAGCACCCCAAGAAGTACCAAGTAATCCAACTATATCCCTAGGGCTCTGCTAGCTGTAGAGCTGGGCCCCCAATCTGGTTTTGGAATAGAGGAAAGGCCAGAGTGGGAATGGCAGGTCATGTCTGCTCTGACTCTAAAGAACCTGGGTCAGTAAATGCCAAGAAATGAACACCAGGAGTAAACGTCCATGGCCCCCTCCCCACATTTGCCACATTCCCAGGGAAGTGATGCTGAACTAGGAAAATGCAGGATATCCCATCTTAGAAATCAGAATCCACCATCTTCCCAAGCCTACAGTAGGCATTGTGTCCTCACGCCCCCTGGCGGTGGGTCTGCAGTCGCAGGCTGCAAGCTCTCTGTCACACAACATTCCCTACCAGGGGAAGGAAGGACCAGCCCAGGTCGCCCACATTCTATAGATGGGGGAAGGTGGGCGCAGAGGCAAGGAGGGAAGGACCTGTGCCCTCACAGCCAAGCCCCGAGGAGACTGGACCCAGGTGCTGTGTTTATTGCAAACATTTATTAAGCACCTGCTGTCAGGGTGCTGGAACTGCTGGACTCCTGGTCCAGTGCTCTTTACAATCTTGGCTGACCCTCTGCAATTCAGTTTGAGACTCAAGCCAGGAGCTGGAACCTCCTTCTCCAGGTGGGGGGAGCAGCAGGGAGGAGGATAGACCCCTCCCATTAGCCCACCAGCCACTCTGTGGTCCAGAGACATACAAGAGACAGGATGGAGCACTGCTCATGGGTGGGGCAGGATGAGGGCCCAGTCGGCTATGTCCATCCATTTAAAGTTTTAATAAATAGTTCCTGTTGCTGCCCAGGCTGGTGGGCGTGGTGCCATTGTGCCCAGTGTTCCCAAGCGTCTGAGGGGTGTGGGGTGCCCCATCTCATGGTAGTTCAGGCTCTGGCTCTGAAAAGGGAAGGAGAAAGCACTGGGGTTAGCCCACCTCGGCAGCTGTCCAGGTGCTGTTCTGGCAGGAGGTAGCGGGCAGGAGTGAGGTTCCCCAGGAATAGGTCTCAGCTGGGACCAGCTCCAGGGAGACACTGTACCTCCCCTACCCCCAAGCGAGACATGGGTTGCTGGAGGCTCCTACAGGAGGGGTCCCAGCACCCACACACATATTCTGGGTTCTGAAGTGCAGTGGTTGGATCCATGTATCCTCAACATCCATCTCAGGCTGTGTCCCTCCCCCAGCCCCATCTAGGACCCATGTCACTGACCAGCTTCAGCTTCGTCACCCTTGGCATCCAGCTCCTGCCACCAGTCAGCATAGAAGCCCTCTTCATAGTCACCTTCTCCCTCAAACTCTGTGTCGGATGGCGCATCCTCAGGCCGTGTGGGCAGCTCTGTTTCCTCCAGCTCCATCTAGAGCAGCCCCAGGGTAGAGTGAGAAACCAGGTCAGAGCAGACCCAAACCCACCACTCAGTCCCCAAAGCCTTTCCTTCTCTAGTCTCAAGGTCTAATGAGAATGTTTTGACGATTTCTCCTGCAAGGTCCCATTCCCAAACTGCTCTCCTCAACCCCAAATGGATGCATGGGGCTCTACCAGAGAAACACTACCCCTCTCCACAGCCCCACAGCCCCACCTTCTAAGCACAAGCACCCTGGTGAAAAAACTGCTAGTCCACGCGTGTTACAATGTATGCTTACACTGCTGCCCTGCCAGGAACACCTCTTCTCCCCTGTGTGCAGGGAGCTAGCTGATCCTCCAAAGCCAGGCAAGGACTGTACCCATGACCCTGGTTGGTCCTGGAGCCCTCCTCTGGCACCCAGAACTCACCTCTCCAGCAGTTTATGTCTCCTTCCCTAGAACATGAGCTGCTTGGGAAAGGGACTGTACCTTATGCCCTAAGCCTGATGTCTGGCAAACAGCAGGCCACAAGTGACAGTCATCAAAATGGCTACCACTCACTGAACACCTTACTGTGTGCCAGCTCCAGATTAAGTGCTTTACATACTAGAGGTCACTTAATCCTCACTGCAATGGTGTGAGATGGGCATGATTCTCCCCATACGATGGATGAAGAAATAGAAGTTGAGAAGTCACCTGAGACATGCCTGGAGGCTACCCAGCTGGTAAGTAGAAGGGCTAGGTCTGGCTAGTACTCATGTATGTCATACCCATTTTACGGACATGAAATCTGAGGCATAGAGAGGTCACACAGCTGAAGGAGGGGGATGAATAAACAACCACCGAGCAGAGCACCTCAGAGACAATCAGGCTGTCAGACCCTCATTGGAAGTCAATGTGATATAATATGGTCCTTTCTTCCTGGTGTCCTGCATTCATTCCATTGTTTATTCACTGGTTCATTCAAACTCAGTCCTAAGCAGGAAGCAGGGGCTCTATGTAGGCGCCATGTGAGAGCTGGGAATAACCTAGTCCCCTCTCTTGGAACATTAATCCTCTAGGAGACTGGCTGGAGAAGGGGCCCAGAGATAAACAAGATAGACCAGGGCTACAAACAACCCCAGGTCTAGCCCACAGGTGGCCAGGGAAGCACAGAGGGTCAGAGTTGGCACTGCATGCCCAGAGAAAGCCAGGGCAGGCACAGAGGGCTTCCTGGAGGAGACATCATCCAAACTGGCCTGGGAAAAGCAGGATGATAAGGACTTATAGAGAGGGGGGCATGAGAACACTGAGGTAGAGAAGGGAAGCTGGAGAAAGGGGACAGGGACAACCTCTTCTGCATCACAGCAGCTGACTGTTAGGGGCTGTAGCTGAACTCCCCAGGAAAGGCCCAAGGACTCCATGACAGTGCAGCCCTAGAGGGCGAGGGCCACTCACCTCATCGTCTGATTGCAGGTACATGCGAGTGAACTCCAGCAGTTCCCGTAGCTCAGAGGTCTGATTGTGGTAGAGTGTGGCCTCCTGGGAGGAGGGAAGGATGTGGGGCTGAGCTGGACTCTGCTGCCAGATGGCAGGGAGCCAGGGCTCCTAGGACCTGGGCCCTCTGGCCCTCTTCCAGCACAAGGACCAGGGAACAGGTATCAAGTCACATGCTGATCAAATGATCATAGCTGCCTAGAGTTCTGGGTTAAAGAAAATACTGAGGGTTTCATGGAAAAGAGTGCCTCGATTGATTAGCAATGTCTACCACTGACAAGGAAAGTGGGAGTGGTACCATGTGCCCCATTATTTGCCAGCCTGGCTCTAAACTCCAAGGGGTCAGGCTAGGGGCTTCCTGGGGAAGAGAGGCAAAGGCCAACAGATGAGGTGTGCAGGAGGGCAGGCTGGAATGAACACACATTTTGGTACCTCCCACATCCAGACATCCCCATTTTGTAGGTGAGGCAGATTTAGCAAAGGCCATGATGCTCCCAGGACCACGCATCTGTGGGGCTGGGTTTTAAACCCTAGACTTTTTTTTTTATTGTTGGGAATTCATTGAGGTTTAAACTCTAAACTTTTTTTTTTTTTTTTGAGACGGAGCCTCAAGCTATCCCCCTGGGTAGAGTGCCATGGCATCATGCTCACAGCAACCTCCAACTCCTGGGCTCAAGTGAGTCTCCTGCCTCAGCCTCCCAAGTAGCTGGGACTACAGGCGCCCGCCACAATGCCTGGCCATTTTTTGGTTGCAGCCATCATTGTTGTTTGGCGGGCCTGGGCTGGGGATTCGAACCCGCCACCTTAGGTGTATGTGGCTGGTGCCTTAGCCACTTGAGCCACAGGCACCGAGCCTTAAACTCTACACTTTAACCACAACCTATATTCTTTCTTTCCACTCACCCTCCTACCTTCCTAGGAAGCCAGGAGGTTTTTTACAAAATGCAAGCCAGCAAGTGCCTCAGAAAGTGGTGCCCACCTCCCGGGGCTGGAAATCCTCCTCTTCTAGTCCCCAGCGAGCACGGTGGAAGCGGTAATACACCAGGTTCTGCTGCATGACGCTGTCCTCGGGGTCAAAGAGCATGTAGCTGGCAGCACTGCGGGCAGCCTGGCGCACATCATTCACTGCGACAGGACAGGGTAAGGAGCAACCCCTCAGAGTCTGCCCCACCTAACCTGCCCCAATCCCAACCCCAACTCAGTCCAGTGCCCTGCGGCCAGCTGCCTCCTAGAATGCCCACTGGGTTCCTTACCCCACAAGAATAAATCAAGCTAGCAAGAAGTGGTTACTTACCATGTGCTCAGCCCTTTCCAACTCACTTATGTTATCCTCATTTTATGGACAAGAAATCTGAGGCAGGCTCAGCGCCTGTAGCATAGTGGTTAAGGCACCAGCCACATACACGGAGGGTGGCGGGTTCAATCCCAACCTGGGCCAGCTAAACAATGACAACTGCAACAAAAATAGCTGGGCATTGTGGTGGGCGCCTGTAGTCCCAGCTACTCAGGAGGCTGAAGCAAGGGAATCGCTTAAGCCCAAGAGTTTGAGGTTGCTGTGAGCTGTGATGCCACAGCACTCTATCAAGGGTGACATAGTAAGACCGTCTCAAAAAAAAAAGAAAAAGAAATCTGAGGCATAGAGAGGTCACATAGCTGGAGGATAATGACACTGGGGAATTAGAGGCCCTCAACCATTCTGCTGTCTGTTCACACCCACGAGGGGTCTCCTGGCCCCTTGGTTCTAAGCCCCTCTGCTCCAGCTCCAAGTTCTGTCTCATCTCAGCATCCCTGTGTTGCCAGAACCCTCAAAGTTATCCACCCCATCCGTCCCAGTCAATGCCAGGGTGTCTCTCAAGTGGAGAGCCACAAGTTCTGGTGCTGTTGACCCTTTGCCCTCTATGAGCTTCAGTTTCCTCATCTGAAAAATGAGTCCAGTAATGCCAGCTGCATAGTATTGGTGAGAAGATCAAGTAAGATAAGGGGCCTTATAACCTGGCAAGTATAGGGTGGACATAAAGTTCACGTGAAATTTAAAGTAGTTTAACATAGTAAGTTGCACAGAAACTTTATGTCCACCCTGTACTTTATAGCTGTTGGCTCTCCAGGTGTTTGCCCGAAGGCCCTTTAATTCTCTAAGGCCACTTTCTCTTCTCACTCACAAGCCTCTCACCAGCCCCAGGCTCCCATAGGTCCTATATCCCCAGAACACTGGCATTTCCTCCCATCACCCAGTTCCTCACTTCTCAGGACTAGCTCCCCATGGAGCCCTCTCCCTCACCCCTTCCTCCCCTGCCCAAGCCCACCCAGGGGCTCACATTTGTAGTAGGCAAACTGTAGGTAGTGGTACATGGTGGCCACAAACTTGTCCACGAAGTAGCCACCCACGTTGGG